AATTATATATTGATTGATTATAAATATTTTTTATTTTTTTAATTCAAATATATTATAAATTTTTAAAAGGTTTAAAGCTCACTATAGTCTCCCTACTTTCATTTTTCATTTATTGTCCTCCTCGTACTTTGAAATCGTTCAAAGACTTCTCACTACTCTCTCAAAACATATTACTATCCTTCTTTTACTTTCAATTTTCTTACTAGTTACTTCTCTCATCTAACACCTAACTAACGTTGTTACTAACTATCACCATGTAACGAAATTCTTTTGTCATCAAACCTCCATCCATTCATTTATTATTTTTTTAACGAATTTCAATTGTGGACCCCACAAATCCTATGTCACCCACGATGTCACTAACCTAGATCTGTCCTAAGACTTATGAATATAATATATACATAATTTATTTCTGCCAATTTAGAAGTTATACCTTTAAGATTGTCTACTAAAAGATTAATTTGAAAGTGTATAAAAATTGATTTTGAATTACCATAATCATAAAAAAAGAAAAAAAAAAGTAATTCTTGAAATATATTATCACATATTAATCAATGGATTTATTTTTTAAATTGTGTTAATCAAATTTATTTTCTATAAAGAATACAATAAGACAAATCATTAAAAAAACCCATTAATTTATATTTCATAATAGTCATATAAAGCCAAACAAGTACAATTTGGCATTCAGTTTGGATTATCCAAATCAAACTAAATTTTTAATTATCTAAAATAATTTTGGATAAGACTTTTATATCCAATTTGAACTAAAATTTCATATAGCACAAAAACTAAAATAAAATAAATAAATTTATATTATAATTTTTTGGATAATTTGGTGTTTCATATCAATTTATTGCTACATGTTTTCTTTTAGCTAACATTGGAATCAAACTAAATGCTCAGCTCTACTTGTTTGACTCTATATGATTATTGTGATGTATAAATTAATGTATTTTTTTTTTATGATTTCTCTTATTGTATTTTCTATAGAAAATAAATTTGATTAACACAATTAAAAAATAAATCTATTGATCAATACGTGATAGTCTATTTCAAGAATTTCTTTTCCTTACTTTCTTTTTTTCTTTTTTAATTATGGTATTTCAAAATCAATTTTTGTACACTTTCAAATTTATCTTTTGGTAGACAATTTTAAATGCGTAACTTCTACATTGGTAGAAATAAATTGTGTATGTATTATTTTCATAAGTCTAGGGGCAACTCTAGGTTGGTGACATGATAGGTAACATGGAATTTGTGGGGCCAACAATTGAAATTCATCCAAAAAAAAAAAATAATGGATGGATGGATGGATGGATTGAGGTTTAACGGCAAAAAATTTTTGTTACATGATGGTTAGTAACAATGTTAGTTGGGTGTTAGGTGAGGAATGTAACTAGTATGACAATTGAAAGTAAAAAGAGGACAATAGTACATTTTGGGAGAGTAGGGGATGTCTTTGAACGATCTCAAAGTATAAGGAGGACAATGAATGAAAAATGAAAGTAGAGGGACTATTGTTGGCTTTAACCCTTTAAAAATATTTTTAAATAATAAAAAATAAAAAATTAAAAGCTAAAATACCCATGAAAGCCTTAGTGTCGATTTGGTGTAACTGGAGTTTTTAATAGAAATTCTATTAAAAAAATTATTGTAAAAGAATTGTTTTTGTAAATAAAAAGAAAAATAAAGATAAAATAAAAATAATGTATTACTTTCATTAAAATCGAAATGAAAAGTTCCTATAGGAGTACCAATTTGGTGCTTATGAGATTTGCAATGAAATTGAGAAAATACTAGCTTGTGAAAAGTTGTAATATTTTTCACTCATTGTAATGTTTGATACAACTTATACCTTTAAAGGCAAAAAGTCATTTCCACAAATTTCACCTAATAGGCCTTTAGTTTTTTTTTTTTTCTCTGGCAAAAAGATAAATATAAAAGTATTACTACTTTAATTCTATTTTATTTATTAATTTAAATTTAAAACGTAATATTAAAATATTTTCTTTTTTAATTTAACTCTTATTAATAATTATTTTAGTTTTTTTTAAATATATTTCAATTTTTCAACTTCTCTCATTAATAAAGGTAAAATTTAAATTTTAATGAATAATAATTGTAATTTTATAATTTTTTTATAATTATGTCATATATAACTGTGTCAAACAAAAAATGTAACTAATAAAATAAATCAAATACGGCATTATTAATGATACGTCAATTTCATGATAAGATTCTTTTAGACAAAAGCCAAAAAATTAGTGTGGTCTTGTCTAAGGACACATATTAAGGCTTTAGGAATACATTAATTACAGATATTTTTAATTAATTTACATTAAAAAATAAAAAAATATATTTTTAACACCAATTAAATGTAATAACTTTTAATTAGGCAATTATAAAAACTAAAGTTAGTTTTTATTTTTTTTTGCATAACATTTAATTAAGAAAATGAGCAATACATACACATTTCACTTACTACCTCATGCCAATTTTAATTGTTACATTTTTCTTTTAAAAAAAAAAGGGTGTTTTTATTTAGTTATCAATTTCAATTTTTAACATACCATTAATCCTGTTTTTTTTTTTTAAATCACTCCTACTAAAATTTACTTCATTTTTAAAAAGAACACATTTTAACTTCCCAACCACCCTCATTAATAAAAGTAAATATAAAATTTTAATTAATAATAAGTGTATCTTTATGAGTTTTACATATTATTCTATAATTGTATCAAACAAAAGTATAACAGATAAAATGAACCTTAATATAAATTTATATCAAAATAATAAAATTTGACCTTTAATATTTAATTACTCACTTAAATTTATCTACATAATATT